TCGCAAATAAAGATTAAACATGCATAGAAGTTCATTTATTTTTAGGTCCAGAATTTTTCTTTCAACAGTGTATTTTTATTTGAAGACAACTAGCATGAGAAACAATTTTAAGCTGGCATGGGATGAACAAAATTTGTTTTTTATTAGGACTTTTGAACTGTTGCATTGTTATAAGTAAAAAGATTTTATTTTCTTTGCAAATTCTTTCATTTAGCACCAGCAAGAGTAGCCAATTGCTGTTACTGTGGTTTAAACCCTAGGATAAATAGAAAAAGACATTTGAAAAATGTGAAGACCCAGAGATACATATATGCTCAATTCCAGAGATCCAATAAACCAATATTTCTATTCCTTTTTCTGTCTTCTGTTCATCTTGAAATGAGCCTATAATATTTGTGTGTGTAAAAATAATGAGGCATTAAATGAGTTTCGTGGATGTGTTCACTGTTTGTGTTGGAGCTGGAACTTCCCAGCCCGGCAACTCTGCCTGTGCTATAAAACACTCACAGTGGCTTGATGATTTTTGTTATTAGTTGCTCTTTCTGTTTTATGCAGACATTATTCTCTCAGACATTCATCATCACTGTAATGTAAATAAGCATCTTTTAAAAGCAATAGCTCCAATAATATCTTCAGTTTATCAGAAATCCCTCCGTAGAAACTCGACCTGCGTTGCAGAAGTTGACTCAGCATGAAAACTTGTTTCTGCCATTCAGTCCCTGTGACCTGCTTATGTTCTAAATGGAACATTCAATTACTAGGACCCTTCCTATTTTTTAACCTTTGCCCATTGTGAACCCTTCAATATCAAAAAAAGAAAGAAAAAAGAAAAAAGTCCATTGTTCCAAAGAGGAAATAATGAGTCTGAAATGTATCCATCAGTGTAATGCAGCTTCCTGGCCAGCTATAGGCATCGAAAAGGAAAACTCCCCGCTGTGCACTCTTGTCTGAGAAGAGTTGCTGACATCTTTTAGTCTTTTCTCCATGGGAACTTATTTCCTTTTTCTCCATCCACCGCATTTCTAAGATCCACATCCAAAGAGAAAGAAGAGAAGAAAAAAGACGGTTGTGAAATGCAATCGTAAGCTGCATCTTAAAATCTCCACTTTACTAGCAAGAGGCTAACAAGGCAGAGGTTCCATGGCCTCCTATCAAGGTTCAGTTTCAAAGGGTGGCCGGATATACCCTGGACTTGCTGCAACCACACAGATCCTACCCATCAATTTCAAGTGTCAAAACTGCAGCCCTTTCTCTGATCTCAGTAACAGATGACTGGGAGGCAGCTTATAAAATGTAATCAACAGCTTGGTCTGAGGCCAAACGCAGTAGTTTGCCAACCTGTGTAACGCTGAAGTTTATGAGTGGTTGCCTACCCGTCTGGGGAGCAAGAGGACACAAGTGATGATTAAATGCACTAAACGAAAGAAGTGAGCATGACACTTCTTTCCAAACATTCTTCCTCCAGTATGAATGGAGGCCCAGTCGTAACCTGGAAACCAATTGTAACTCTTCCCTCTTCCATGTTTTCTCACATCCAAATCTCAAATCTTACTTTAACTCATCCATTTACTTCTCTCCATCCCACTTTCGAACTCACACCAACAATGTATTTTGCCTGTATTCCTAAAACTGTCCTCTAAATAGCTCTCTGGCTTCAGTTTGGTACCTTCTAATGTATACTTCACTGCAAACCAGAGTGATCTTTCTAAATGGCAGAAATGCTAATAATTCTCCCTGCTGCTGCTGTCCTCGGAAGCCCAGACTCCCTAACTCCTTATCACTCCCCAATCCCCCTTTCTCTGTACTGGACTAAATGTCTCCAGACCCTTCCACCTCTACCTTAATGTTTTGACATATGGTCCCCTTTTCCTGCAGCATGTTCTTGCCTTGCTGACTTACTCCTACTTACATTTTAGGTCTCAGTCTTCCTTGATTAGGCTCTATTACTGCAGCATGGCGATTCAGTTATATATATTTTTTTCATAGTATTTTTCATTATAGGTTATTAAAAAATATTGAATATAATTCCCTATGCTATATAGTACGACCTTGTTGTTTATCTATTTTATATATAGTAGTTTGTATCAGCTAATCCCAAACTCTTAATTTATCCCTCCCTATCTTTCCCCTTTGGTAACCGTAAGTTTATTTTCTGTGTCTGTGAGTCTGTTTCTGTTTTGTAAATAGGTTCATTTGTGTCATTTTTTAGATTCCACTTATAAGCGACATCAGATATTTGTCTTTAACTTACTTCACTTAGTATGATAATCTCTAGGTCTATCCATGAAAACATATCTTCTTTTATGTTTTCTCTCCCATTCTCAATCTTTTTAAAATCCCTAATCCTGACCAATTGGCTGACCTCCCTTCCTTCCTTCCTTCCTTCCTTCCTTCCTTCCTTCTGTCTTTCATTCCTTCTTTCCTTCCATGAGCACATAGTTATTATGAGCCTACAACATGCCAGGTATAGTTCTAGGTGTTGAGGATATAATGGGAATGAAGTAAAAGCAAAATTACCAGACTCACAGAGCTCATATTTTAGTGAAGACACTGAATAATAAATAAATGTGTAATACAGTGTCAAGTAGTGATAAGTGCTCCAAAGAAAACTAAAGCAGAGTGAGGCATAAAGATTGACTATTTTAGGTGGAGGGAGGGTGGTGGGAATAGGCTACTCTGCACCTACAGGTCAGAGCAGATTCCCTGAGAAGATGTCAAGGAAAATTTGCACTGGGTAGAATTAAACAGGCAAGGGAGACTTTACTCAAGACTATTGCATTAGGGTCAAGACTATTGCAATAAAGGAAAAAGATTGAAACCTGCTGACAGAAAAGGTAGGAGAATTTTTAAGCACTGAGGTGAGCTAGTGGAAGAGGATATTAGTGATTTAGCCATCTGTGTTGGCTAATTTTCCTTACAGAAGTTGGGCTCCTGTCCTCCCACAGAGACTGGAAATAAGTGGTGCCGAGTCATCTTCCATGATGATTACATAGCAAAGGAATGGATCCCAGGTCCTCGAGAGACACAGTCCTGGGTTGTAAAACTGGCAAGAGGCTGGAAGAAGGTTTACACCTCAAATGGGACTGAGAAAGAATTTAATGTTGCAAGTTTTCTGAAGTAAATGCTTAAAGAAAAGAGAGGTCAGGGGTCTCTAGTCTGGCAGAAACCCTGTAAAGTTTAGTGAAGTTAAGGGAAATATTAAGGCTGTCTTGGTCAAAGGTATCACTTGGGCAGAGACCTAGAGGAAGTGAGAGAGAGAGTCCTGAACAGATCTGAGGCCGAGGCGAGATCAAGTGCAAAGGCCACCGTAGGAGCATGAAGCTTCAAGTTGGAGGGACAGTCACAAAAGGGCAATAGGGCTCTAGTGGAGGGAGCAAGGAGGGAGGTGGGCTGGAGGCGAGGCCAGACCATGGAAATTTCTCAGGGAAGAAGTTTGGAAATTAGTGTGAGGACCCTGGGAAGCCAGTAGATAATTTAAAGAAGAGAGTTTCATTATGTCCATGTAAGAGGAACTCTTGGGCTGCTGTATGAGAAGTGGGTTCAGGTGCTGGAGGGCGGGAGTGGGGGGCTAGTAGTTAGGAGGCTACGGCAATGACACGGGCCTGAACCTTGGACTACGGTGGCAGCTGTGGCGCTGGGGAGGCTTGATGTACGTGAAGATGTATGTTCCTTGCTGAAGAAATGGATAAGAGATAAAAATAGGAGTGAAGGGAGGCTCGAAATTTTTGACCTGAGTGACTAGGTGGCTATTGTTGCTACCATGAGATGGAGAAGCCTGGATGGGGAGCAGGTTTGGAAGCTTTGAAGGGATACGAAATGAAGAATTCTGTGTTGGATAAGTTAAATTTGAGGAGCCAAGTAAGTATGTCACCTGGGCCATTGTATTTATTAGCCTGTAGCTTAAGGGAGATGCCAGAGATGAGAGAGTTATTTGAGAGTTTCTGGAGCATAGCAAGTTCACAGAACCAGGCCAGATTTCCTCCAGGGTATGACAGTGAGAAGAGAGAGAGAACATTTATTTTTCAAATTTACTCTTATCTGACAATGCTCTGTTTACTGACTCGTCCCAACATTTTTTAAAAGCCCATTTGGATTAATAGCAACTCACTTTTTCTTTCAGTAGACATTTCTTCTGATGCATCTAGGGTTGAATTATAGACTAAGCAAGTGCTTTAGGCAACAGCAAAGCAATAACCCAGTCTGTTCAGGCTGCTGTAACAAAGCACCATAGACCGGATGAGCTTATGAACAATAACAACGTATTTCTTACAGTTATGGAGGCTGGAAGTCTGAGATCAGAGTGCTACATGGTCAAGTTCTGCTGTCAGCCCTTTTCCTGATTGCTGACTGCTGACTTCTTACTATACCCTTACATGATGGAGAACAGGGAGAGGAAGCAAGCTCTCTTGTGACTCTTATAAGGGCCCTAATCCCTTCCATGAGGGCTCCACCCTCATGACCTCCCCTGATCCTAATTACTTTCCAAAGACCCCACCTCCTAATACCAACATATCAGACAGTAGGGTTTCAACATACAAATTTGGGGTGAGGGGAGACACAAGTATTCTGTTCATAATAGCAAGGGTGCCAAATATGATTTAAAGAATGCACATGATATTTCAAAAATGTATATGAAATAGGAATAATTGGAGAAAGTCAAATTTTGTTTGGTTTTACAACCTCATTTTACAATTCAGTACTTTTTAGAATACTCATATACTTAAGGTAGAAGACACTAAAATTTTCAGTCTTACTAATGCCTTGGGCAGTCTCTGAACTTGGTACCGGCCCCTGTAAGAAACAAATGTCAGCTCACCCTGTTCATTTTTCAAATGTGTTGTTGAATCTCTTGAAGCAAAAGTGACAATGCATCGATGAATAATGACACTCTGCATTAACTGATGGTACATCTACTTCTTTATTAACTTTAATCAGTGGTAGTTGAAACTCAAGGAATTTTAAAAATCCAGTAAACCCAGATAAGCTTCACAAAGAGAGTATCTCCAGACAGTACTCTGTTATTTTGTCCTCAAATGTTTATTTTATTTGTATTTTTTTTAACTACACAGTTATTGAGAAGTTGTCAAATATAAGGTCAGACAGAGATTTAAGTGCCCACTTTGTGCCTGGCCTGGTTCTAAGTGCTAGGGTTATAGCCACTTATAAAATGGATAAACTTGTTTGCTCTTTTGGAAGCAAGCAGACAGTAAATAAATGAAAAGTGAAACGTGTATGCTAAATGGTAATAAACACTACAGATAAACATAAAACAGGGTCGGTGGAATAGGGGGTGCTGGGTGGTTGTGGGTGGGTTTGAAATTTTACGTAGGATGATCAGGGAAGGGCTACCTGAGCAAAGGTCTAGAGGAAGTAAGGGAACAGGTCATGTAGACACCCATAAAAGAGCATTGCAAGTGGAGGGGTGCTCTGGCCACCGTGTAAAGAACAGATATTGGGGGCAGAGGGCAAGGATGAAAGCAAGGAGGACTCTAGCAGGCTATTCCAATAATGCAGGTGAAGTGATGATTAGCAATGACAGTGGACCATGGGGTTAGCAGTGGAGGCGGTGAGACTGGACCAGAAATATTCTGAAAGTGGGACTTGCTGAATGATAGTGGATTGTGAGAGAAAGGAGTCAAGGATGACCTCAGGGCTTTTAGATAGATAGAATTAGAAGAATGGCATTACTAGCTACTGAAATATTAAAGGCTGTAGGAGGAATGGATTTGAGGACATTTTAAGTTTGATATGTCTACTGGAGGTCCGGTGGATTTATCCAGAAGACAGTTAGATATGTGAGTCTGGAGTTCAGGGTTGAGGTCTAAGGAAATTGGGGATTCATCTGTGTCTACCTGGTATTTAAATGAATGTGTATAGGTAGACAAACTGTCCAAGGACTGAAGGCAGGGGTGCTTCCTCCATGTTTAAAGGTTGGAAAGATGAGGAGAAACCAGGAAAGGAGAGTGAAAAACAGTAATATAAGGAAGAAATTCAGCAGAGTGGTGTCCTGGAAACCAAGAGA